TTCTTTTTCCTGCATCAACTCTCATGACTTCAAGAATATCAGCCCTTATGTATAAATGCATTACCAGTAATTCATTAGAGTAATGAATACCAGTAAGACCCATCAACATGATACTATTCTAATAGCCCTATCAATTATTAGTTGATTGCCCAGCTCTGAAATGAGCTGTAAGTTGGAATTGAATGGAAATTTCAGATGTATATCCCAGTCTAGAACCATTATCAACCATTGATGCTATTACTGGTGTCAGTAGCCAGTCTTATTCTAAGACTTTAAAACAAGATGTAGCCTTCCCATTGGTTCTCAAGAGTGGCTGTCCAATTGGGGCATACTCTAGCCCTACAAGGCTTCTGACTCTCTTGTTCACCAAGGGAACCTCATAAACATATGACAGGTACAGCTGTAAGTGATGGTTATGGATACCAGACAGATATCCTAGGGTCTTAATAATAGAGAGCATGTTTCTGCAAGGCTTAACTAGGGCCTGCGTCGTTGGCTTTAGGGGGAGTTTTTGATGTACAGTTGACTCTGCATATTGGAATACTCATGGGACCAGCAAACTTTATTTTATAATCCTGAGTATTCCAATAACCGAAAATGTGTGCTGTATCATACTATAAATTGGGACTGCACAATGGTATTTCATTACACAGATTTGACTGTAATTCAACCTTATTCCAGTTTTCTTACATCATTTTCTTCCCAGGTACAGATGGCCTAATCTTTGATATGATAAAAGTGATAAATTCCTGTCTGTGATGTCTGGTCATCACTCATCTGAGTGTCCCTTGACAATAGGGGATCAAGTGGTTTATTTATTCCCCAATGGTCAGATGGAGAACTGTGTAGTGAAGTGGATAGGAACTTTGCCAGAGCAAGAGGATGAAGCCCATAGGACTTGGGTAGGAGTGGAATTTGTAAGTTCACCTGTATTATGAAGGAATGAAAATCACACGAGTTCTAATTTTAAGGGGCTGGAGGATCACCAAAGTCTTGTATGTGCTGAGTCATTTTTAGTGATGTAAATGTGCATATTTGGGGGGGGGGGGGATGGGATTGTAGAAATCTAAAAATAAAAAATTTTTGGGAGGAGTTTTTTCTTGTTTGCAAAGTTCTCCTTTGATATGTTTCTGACAAATTAAAAATTGAGAAAGGGGCATGGCTAGTTTATTTCAATCATCAATGATGAAATGGCTTCCACTCTTCACCCTTTTCCCTTGAGCCTATATCCTATGATTGAAGTGGATCAGACTGAATTCACTTGGTTCTTCTAGTGTGATAACATGCCTAATTTGATGGAAGGCAAAAATATACTTCAGAACATTAACATTATGCTTTTGCTTCATGGAAACACTTGATGCAAGCGACAAACTTTTTAAAATCTCCATATGAAAGATTATAAGTATAACATACTATTGGGAGTAATTACTCAATTTTGATGAAAATGTGCCTTACTCTTCTCATGTTTTGAACTCTTTTTATCTATCCTCTTACTTCATTGATACCAGATCATCAATGATCAGTATTTGAAGCATTGGTGGCATCTTTCATTATCATAAGGAGAGGAACATAGGAGGAAGTTCAACTGTGTCCCATTACCATGAAGACGTCTTTGATGCAAGGCCAGGTCATCGAGGCTTTGTTCTGCCAGCTGAGCTAGTTCGAAGGGAAGACTGCTACAGAGGGATGGCATCTGGAAATGGAGGTAACTATGCATTTCTTTGAATTTTAGCCATTTCTAGCTTTCAAGAGTGCCATTCGTATGTCAAGTTTTTGGGAGATTGTGTAGTGAATTCAGAATGACTGTATGTTTTCGAAAATCAAAAAATTTTTCAAAAATCTTTAAAATATGACATTTCCAAACTGCATGTTTTTTTTTTTAATTACTGCATGTGACATCTCAGCTGAATAAAGATGTCTGATTAGTTTAACCCTTTCAGTCCTGAATTATGTTCTAGGCATTCAAAAAATGTCTCCAACAAGTCTTGTATAAAATAAAAGTGCCTTTGAAAATGGTTTCCTTAGGTAAAATAAATATTTAATTAATTAATTATTTTAAATAATTAATTAAATTATGATATCTTTTATTAGATCAGCTGGTGCTCATATCCCTGTTTAACATCTTATGTTTCCCAGCATTCCTGTACTACTTTCCATTATCTAGCTTGCAAAAACAGAAAAAAATTAGCTAAGAAAGAAATGTATTAGCTGAAATAAATACAAAAAGATGACAGTATTTTTGAAGTGCTGGAGGAAATACACCAGCTTCGTATTACTATGGACTGCTGTCAACTTGACATGAGGGGAACTACTATAAATCGGGATTCAGAATCCTGCCATCGCCTCAAGGTCATGCATTCCTGTGTAACCCTATATGTGAAGAAAATGCGGGACTCCTAAGTCCTGCCCGGATCAAAAGGTTTAAAAAAATTTCCCCTGAGCTTCAAAGTGTAGTGACTTTCAAAGTTGAAGCATTAAAAACTATTGTGAACAAGCAATTTGCACACTGCTCATAACCATATAGATCACTTTGGCAGCCTTGATCATGTCATGAAGACGGCAGACAATCTTGATGGATAAATTCTTATTGTGTGTTATTTTGAGTGCTTTGCATTTATACAAATAAATTATGCCAGTTTATTTGAGGAGGTGCTCATCTTTCTCATTGGATCTCATGTTTTCTATGCAAAATCATCTAGTCATTTATTGAAAATTCACCCAGATAATGAAGCAATCATAATACAAGATAAGAGATATCAAAAGCAAGTTCATTCAGTGAGACTGTCTAGAATCTGCTCTGCTGTCAGAGTGTGCCAATGTGGCATATCCAGTGAGTAGCAACATGCAGATTGTCATTGACTCAAGTCAAGTTCAAATGCCCGTGATATGGAGAAAATTTCCGCATCATATTCAAGATTGCATAGATTGTAGTAGTAGCTCATGAAAAAGGGAGGTCCAAGTCAGAATGACAAGAGTAGCTAAAATTTCAGACAATAACTTACGGAAAACGTTTACGTGGAAAGGTGTCAAATGATTAAACGGTCCCAGACTTAGAGAGACTTCTACTAAATTCAACAGTGAACACTAAGTGAACGATAAAAATATTTGTTTGCTTACTTCTAAGGGCATTATCTCACACAATTCCTTCTCTACTTTGCACTTGATGATTTTGGCATTTAGTTATTTTTGAATTTTCCCTGACTTCAATATGCTTGTTTTGCTAGTTGAGAAGTCCTTGTCTTAACCCCCCAAATGGTGGCACATCTATAGCTGCACCACCATGGTGGTGTGGTTATAGATATGGGTCTGTCCACTGTGTTGGATGTGACTTCCAGAGTTTATGTTCAATATACAAAATGTATTAAACTATATTACAAATGATGAATCAATATATAAAGGTTGCAACATTTTGCTTTAGGGAGTGACTGAAAGTTCCATAATCCCAAGTCTTTTGTCCTCTTTTTTGATAGAGGTGTACCTATGTTAAAAAGAAAAGTGTCCGACATGACATTTAGTGAAATCTCAGGTTTAAGTCACTGTAATGTTCTAATTCTGTCATGCCTAATAACTTGGTATTATGCTCATTCTATGGTTTAAATGAAAGCCTTTAATTAGTATAAGTAACCCCAGGATCACAATACATGGAAAAGAAAGTAAGGCTGTTTTGTGACTGTCAGATATGACAAGAAAGTGTCAAATGTGACAAGTTCAGAAAATGTATTTTAAAACAAAAAGTCTATACAGATCTTTTAATCTTATTTTTATTGTATCATTCAAATGTGAATAATTGACATCTACTCTTCACACCCTACCTGATTTGAAATCATCAGTATATATAGGAGAACCCATGGTGGCATCTGTTCCAGTAGTAAAATTCAGTCTCTCCAGATTTGTATCATATCCATGAATATCTTGAGAATGGTATGAATAATATAAAATTAACATAACTAATTCTTTCATTTTTCAATGTAATGTTCTCCTCCATGCATGCCTTCTGGGAAAAGAGATGATGAACTTTTGTAGCAAAAGTAATATTAGCATATTTAGAGAAATTTCTGGCTGAATTCCTAGGACCACTTGGTGTGGACAGACCCATATACATACCACCAGGGAGGTTAACCATACTGTGCACAGGTACTTCTGAGATCTAAAGCACAACAGAAATTGACCCAGCAATTCCAAGAAGGGTGTTTGACAATGCTGGTTACATATGCACTTCCTGAATTTATGGCTTAGCCTCTTATTTGCAAATACTAATTTACATCTCTTAATAGTCAGTTTACTTACTGAAATGAAACATCAGATAATCAAACAAGACATCAGATTTACAAGTCAGCATTTTTATAGGATCACTGATACATTAACCCCCAAAAATATGCAATTCATCCACTTTGAATCAATCAACCATTAGATGATCACTTCATAACCTTGAGCTGATGATATATACATATTACTTGAACTAAAATAAGTGAGAAAAAAAAAAAAATATATATATATATATATATTTATCCATTTTGAATAATATGTGTGATATAATTTCAGGAGGGATACCTAGAGAGGCTGAAACAAAAGTGGAAAAAAAGAATGAAACAGCGTCACCTGTGTCTCCCATAACAAAAGTTAGCAACAGGGACAAAGATGCTCCAATTGGTGGTGTAAGACCTCTTCTAAAGAAGAAGAATGATGGAAATGAGAGCTACAGCCCCAGAAAAATCCAAAGTCCTTCTAATTCTATCACTGGGAGTCTACAAATGAAATCAAGTGGCATACAAACAAAAGGGATACAGACTTTACCAACACCAAGACCAAGCAAGAATGGCAGCTGTAATCATGCTCCTAATTCCAACTTTCTGATGAACAATCTAGCAGATTTGCCATCATCCAGTGGGAAGCCATTTATGCATAAGAACAAGCTCTGGGANACCACCCTGTCCCACTATGCTTCTGCTTACATACCTTGTGATTTTTAACTCTCTATCCATCTCCACTCGAACCAGGTACCACCCTGTCTGATCATCCAATTGCCAAGATGTGGAAAGCAGTATAAGATGTACCCACGCATCCAACCTTCCTTAGTGTTGGATATCACTGATATATTGGAGAATGTCCCTCGATCATGTCACTGTTGCGGTCATGTGGCTGAAGAGGAGTGTCTTGCCTGCTTTGACATCATGGAGGGGCTTGAAACAACAGCCTACTGCTCCCCATGCATGACTAAGGTACTAGTGCAATTTTTTTTAAACACAGGTAGTTCTGTTCTTTAAAAGACTAGAGAAATTCTCTTGGCCTTACTGATTGGCATATTTTTACTGAGATATCTGTCCACATTCATTGTTTCTAGGTGCACAGCCATCGGAAGAGGGCCCACCACAGAAGCAAAAAGCTTCAGATACCCCCTGAGGCCAGAGACATATTCCTCAGCTCAAATTCACTGCCCGTCCCAAGAGCCCACATGGAATTGTTTGCTGTTGTTTGTATTCACACATCTCATTATGTAGCCTTTGTGAAAGGAGGAAGTGGTGCTGATGCTCCATGGTGTTTCTTTGACTCCATGGCTGATAGAGAAGGTAAGGAAAAGTTGAGTCTGTGTTTGTAAGAATTTTTGGTGAATTTATTGAAATTACATTATAATCTTCAGGTGGTGAAACAGGTCACAATATTCCAGAGGTGGTGGAGCATTCTGATATTGCCTACTGGTTATCTGACAGCTGCACTCAGCAGGTACTCAGTGTCAAGGAAGATAAGCGACTCCCTGAGCATGTCAGACGGTTACTGTGTGATGGATACATGTGCTTCTATCAGAGTCATGATGTTCTCATGTATAGGTGAGAAGTGTTTCTCCCCCCTGCTGTGCAACCCAAGAGATCCCTGTGATTTTTTGTGTGACTATGGAGTTTTCCAGCAAATTTGATTCCAGTAACTACTGAAATCAGCCAGTAAAGCTGTTCTACCAGATTCACTCAAATGTCTGTGACTGCACTGCTGTGAATTTCATTAGTCCACTGTATATCCTGACTTTGTTTCTGCTCTTATGTTCTGTACAGTCAGGTGTTTTAACTCTTACATGTACTTTATTGACATGCACAAATTTATGCTCATCTTCTTTCAGTCTGACAGAGCTTCAGGATTCTTGAGGTTCATTTTGGATTCGTGGGAAGGACTTGTTTCTTTGCTGATCATCCTGGCTGAGGGAATACAAAACTTGTGATTTTGTAAACTTACACACACATATATATATATATTCATGCTTATTCAGTTTGGTAGTCATGCTCAAAAGTCTTTCTTGCAGCTAGATATGTTAATTGTGAGCTACAAATGATAATGGCAGTTGTGACCAAGATAGGAGGGATATCATGAGTCAATGGAAGGTATAACAATTACTATTGCAATATATCAAAGTGACAATCATGAGAGTCACAGGCCTGTTGGATATTCCTTTGAGTCACCCCCTTTGAAGGAGGTCAATCATTCAAAAGGAACTGATTATTTTACATTATTGGTACTGGTAAAGCAATATACATTCCATGTTGACATGGGGGGAACGAAGCTTACATGCACTTGAACACATTTCAGATAGTCACCAGACCACCATGATTTAAATGATACACAAGATTATACAAAGTACAAAGAAGTATTAATAATTCCATGCTGACAAAAGGACGATGAAATTCACATTGGTATTTAATGCACTTTTATGAATCATTCATAAAGAATCACCAAATTGCTAGAAATGCAATGCTACACAAAGTTAACTGTATTGTTGGGATGTAGATGGCCTTCATGTCTTCCCTTAAATATAGGGTGGAGGAAGTAAAATTGGTGGACTCAAAGAGGATAGGGAAAGCACGTGTTTTAACAGTTTTATTTACAGAGTTGTGGCATTACAGCCTTGAGTGCTGGGAGTGGGCACACAATTCCAAAGATAATTAATTTATGGCACTGTTCAAGCATTTCAGTTTTCATTTTTTACTTGTGTCAGGCTGTGTATACTACCTGGTATAGCTATTCCAAAACTTTTTGGCAATGACCTCATTCAAGAGCACCCTCCAAATGAATGAAAATGTTCCATTGCAGAAATCCTCATTCATTTGAAGAGAGAACCTGAATGGCATCACCTAAAAGTTGTGGAACTACTATGCAAGGCTTTTTTTGTTGGCTGACAGTCTCTCAGCAGGAATCTTGCAATGAAGTGTGATGGATCCCAAATATTGAAATCCTTAACTTTGTTTTATTCTTGTGGAATGTTGATGAAAGCTGTGGAATGAAAGTCAGTATACATATTTCTGCCTAATAAGACAATCCCTTCAGGTGAACTCCAGGAATAGAAGCTGATGTATTGTTCCTTTTAAAATGCTTGTCACTTTCTATGTACTCTCCTTTGGCTTGGGCCAATTTATGATTCTAGAAGTCAGGGTTTTAGCATTTCTTAGCCAGCAATTCAGGGAGTAGTTATGGGGATTGGGTAGGAGGCCTTTAATAGAAAATTGCTTCATGAGCAGGACCTGTTCACCGAATGACTGTTTCATTGAAATGGAACCATTTTGTTGATTAAAAACTAGTGCTTTGGTACCATTTTCAGAAAGTATAAGCCTCACTCCATGACTCTTCATAGTGATGCCTTCTAGGCATAATGGAATTGCATAAGTATCTTCACTGCCTATTCAATGCACTGTTCGAGAACATTGCAGAATGCAGTAAAGGCCTAGTCTTGTTCCAGGAATGCAACATTAAATCTAGCTTCCAATTTTCAAAATGGAATAAGATTGAATGGCTCCACATCTTGTTGCACCTTTCAGTTGCCTGCTGATGGTGGTTAGGAGCATGATAGTATAATTTAAGTGTTTCATGAAATCCATTCCACCCTTATCAATGATCACAGAGCACTTCCCATTAATACAAACCCAATATTCCTTTCCCTTCTCCCTAGTTTACATTGAAAACATGGCCTCCAACTTTCAACTAATACTGGTAAAACTTTTACTGGCAAATTCCATTACTGATGGTACTAATTCTATATGCCAAGCACTGCTGTAGACATCACTCAACTGAAAGTGATGTCTCAAAACTGTCAGATCTGAATGAGTGCCTTTAGTTTCACCAGTGTTAACAGAACCTATTTAGGAAATGACTTTCTGCAAAATGATCCTCCTCTACTAAAATCTGTTTTTCAGCGAACTCAGTTTTCTGTGAAACAGATCTGTCAGTGAATTGATTTTCTGAATGAATCGCCGTGCTCCAGATTTTGTGCAGGGATAACAGAGTTTTTGTTCTGAGTATGATTTTATTCAGGGAAGCATATTTCTTACCCAATGTGTGCTGGTATTACTGACTGCAAAATGATATTTGTAGCTGGCATCTAATATTTTCAGCATATGGTAGGATCTGATGAACACAAAATACAACTTTCAAAGATTCAGAGGTTATTTACTTCATCAAGAAATGTTTAAATTCTTGCTATCATATAGTCGGTGGGATGCAAAACAAACATACTCTGGATCTCTCACCCAAACTCCTGAGGATACTGTAGTTAGAATGGGAACTAAGTCTTTTGGCAGCACAAAAGTGTAGCTAGTGAAACTAAGAACTAAATTTGTAATTGAAATTCACAAACTACATTGACTTATAAATTCACAAAATTATGCTAAATGTGAAAATTGCACTTGTTGAGAACTTTGAATTGAGTGGAATAAAATAAAAAATAAGGTTGGTGGGATTGGATTAAAAATTTGCATAAGCCACTTATGAAGGCCATTCAACTCTGTAATTTCATTCTTGCATGACATTAATAGCTCTGAATTATTCTCAAGTCAGTGTCACTTGTAAGTGGGTATGATACGTACAATATATCTGTCAAGGTAAGACACACCCTGGGTGGGTATGATGAGTTCACCTGTCAAACAAACGAGCTTCATAGTTCCCTTCTGCACCCAGAAGTGGTGCACAATCAGCAGAAAAATGAAGAGGCTTTGTGAGCCCTGCATTTCTGGGTATGACAGCTGAAATTTTTTATGATTCTGACGAAGAAAACATAGGTGCTGATGACGATAAGGATTGGTGTTCCGATGAAGACTCAAGTGGGTTCAAGCAATGATATACACTCAATGTCCACAAAATTAGAGATACCTCACTAGTAGCGTGTTGGACCGCCTTTGGCCCTCAAAACAGCATCAATTCGTTGTGGCATGGATTCCACGAGGTGCTGGAAACGTTCTGCAGGTATCCCGGCCCATGCTGCTAGCACAGCGTCACTCAGCTGCCAATTGTTTGATGGCAGTACAGGCAAGTCCCGCACAGCCCGTTCCACCTCATCCCAAAGATGTTCTATTGGATTGAGATCAGGGGACTGTGCAGGCCACTGGAGCAAGGTAAACTCCTGGGCATGTTCCTCGAACGAATCCATGACGATACGGCCCTTGTGGCACGGTGCATTGTCCTGCTGAGAGTGTCCATCTGCTAAAGGGAAAACGGTGGTCGTAAAGGGATGGACCTNTGAAAAGCCTAGCAGTTTGACGGTTTCCGCGATACTCAAACCAGCTAGTCTGGCACCAACGACCGTTTCACATTCAAAGTCGCTGAGGTCTGTTGATTTGCCCATTCTGCCGTCAAAACACACACACTAAAGCAGGGCTGCCTGCTTTAGGTCACAACCTAACCTAGGTTAGGTTATGCTGTAGCTGCATGGAAAGTTGAATGTAGGGGTATCTCTAATTTTGTGGACATTGAGTGTAGTTGTTTCAACTGAGGAAAAGTAAGGAAGAATCTGATCCTGAAACTTTTGAGGGTGGATGGAGTTGTGATAGGAACTGAAGAGATAAGTCTGAATTTAGAGGAAACTGAAATGCAATTTTCTGTAGAAGATGAAAAGATGTTTTGCAGTATTTCCAACTTTTCATTGGGAATGATTTACTGGAAATCATAGCAATCAAGACAAATAGGTACATGTGACAATACCTACAGTATTGCAAAGGAATTTGTACCACCTTTAGCATTGCATATGGTAACTCTATGGATCATCCAATGCAACAGCAGAGGAAGTCCAACTATTGTTTCAATTCCAGAAGATAATGTCTCCCTCCTGCATCAGACAGCTACATTGCATCAATAGGTTAGTCACTTGGGAAATGTACTGTAAAGATGACAATGCACAGCCCATATGAAAGGATATATGAGTTATTGAGCACAGGATCGTTGTGAAGCACCAGGCTGGGCAGTCACGCTGATTTCCTGAGCTTGAACAAATCAGAGTAACAAAACCTGTTTTTCCAACTCATCATTTTCATTGCAAATGGAAAAAAGAAAACTGTTTCCTTTATACTTTGTTCTTGGCTCACTCTTATGTTCTTATCCTCAAAGTTCTCCATTCTACTGTAGTTCACTCTACATATGTTGAATGCTGCCCAGGTGCAGTGAAAAAAGCCCTGCTGTCTAGGTTGGGAGGATTCCTCCATAGAAAAGCATGGACTCCCTGTTAAAGGTGGTACAGATTCATTTGCAAAACACTGTAGAAAAGAAGAAATCCTAATCTGAGGTCCAGAGTGAAAGACTGGGTGTGGCAGAGTGCATAAATCACTGCTGGGACTTCAGCTGTGACAAGGTATCATGAGAAAACCTAAGAACAAACATGAATGTATAGAATTCTTTCCTTTTGGAAAGCTGTGCCTGAGATGAAATTTCACTTGTTGAAATTTCTAAAATTCATCAGCAACATGTTCAATGCTGAGTCATCACAAAAAAAGTATTTTCAAAGTAAAACCTGCCCTTGACAATATTAAGAAGTAGTTCAAATCCATGTATATTCCAAAGAGGGAAATAACAAGCATATTCTTGACATTGCCATTTTAAACACATTCATGGTTTACAAAAAGAACTAATGACAGCTGTGGAGAATGGAATTCATGATGTAACTTCTTGAAAGACTAATAACTGAAGGGGGCATGTATAATGAAGCCAAAAACCAGGCACACTTCCTAATCACCAAAGCCAAGTAGGTTTATGAGAAGAAATTTTCATATTTTTCCATCAGAGACATCAAAGAAGAACCCTACAAGAAGGTGTATTGTAAGCTACAAAGGGGGTAAGAAAAAAAAAGTTGGAACTGGTGTCCAGAAGGCAAAGTAGGGGCTCTTCCCTGCACCTTGTTTCAGGAACTATCACACCAAGGCCAGCTACTAGGTAGATTGCTGAAATTTTGTATTTCATTATAACTAGATGGGTACTTGATTTATACACAAAAATAATTAAACCAACTCACAAGGAAAAATGTTGCCACTTTTGAAGTGGCTTCTGGTTGAAAAAGCCCCTTACAGAGTTAAATGTCCTTTACAGGGGAAACCTATCTTATTCAAAATATAAGTTTTTCAAGTTAAATAAGGAAATAAAGAGAGTCAAATGCAACAGTTGTGCCCTTGCCAGGTGACTTCCTTTGAGTTGTATTTGTAGCTTCTAACCATCAATATGTAACAGTTGGTTCTAGGATGGCTTCCCACCAAGAATTTGTTAAAAACTGTGCACCTGTGATAGACCAATGTAATTTTTGTTATTACTCTATTTCATTTTCTGCAGACTTCAATAATAAAATCCATTAATTAGAACAATGTTGTCCCTCAGATGAATGGAAACTAATCCCTGCAAGAACAGTGATGTAACAAAGGATCACATCTGAAAGTAGCATGATGGTCATCTATTATTGCTTCATTTCTATTCAGCAACTTGTACACCTACAGATATCACAGGACATTCAATTTGGAATTTCACCTCTCATCACTGGTGTAAGGAATGACAAATGAAGAAAAAACTGTATTCAAAAGGTTATTTTAAAAGGTTATAAAAGGTCTTTGGCATCACTCTCTCGGATTCCATCACTTGCCATTCTTCTCCCTGCCATTTCCAACAAGGCTTTGGCTTCTGGATCCACATCCAGCACACTAGCTCGTTCAGTCTGCAATTATAAGGAAAATAATAAATTGGGGAAAAGGATACATTTATAGACAAGAGAAAACAAGTAAGCATGTTTTGTCTTTAGCCAACTTCCATACCTCATCAACCTCAGGCTCCTCCCCTACTCCCCAGACCTCCATGTGGTCAATGTGAAATTCTTGACTCTTACATAACTGGGGACTGTGGTATGTAGTGCATGAAGCATTAGCTCTTCCTGTTCCAAATTCACTATCAAGCCATAGTCCAAAATATTCCAACCGTCCTCCAAATCCCTATAACACAATACAAAAAGTACCATATACTTGTCAGATATTCAGAGTAATATAATACACTTCAAATATTAACCTGGCAAAATTTTTTTCAATAACTTCCATTATATGTAGAAATCTGAAACATACTGTCCTTCAAAAGTTTCAAGACACATGTTCACCATCAAAATTCTCCATAAATTGAGCACATGTACAAAGATGTTCATACCAAGGGATAGCAGCAATATTACAAACATCAAGCCATGAAATTCACCATTTCACCATATTCAGACTCAAGTCATTGCAGCTCGTCAGAAGTGAAATAGTGACACCACAAGAGAAGGCAAGTGCATGTTGTGGTTTGTGGAGTTAAAGTCAGTCACACAGTTGCAGCACAAGTTCAGAACTGTTTGTGGCAAGAATCCTCCTGTCTATGAAAAAGGAGCTCCTGTAGGCTTTCAACATTGGATGCCAATGTTGAACATGTATAGGAAGCCTTTGGGTGCAGTCCAAGATGGTCTGTATGCTATGCCAGTAGAGATGCCACCTGAGCCTTTCTCTTTTAGCACACTTCCTGTGCTCTTAAATTGCCTCATCAATTGGTATGCTGAATCATAGACAGGAGAATCCTTGCTGTAAACAGTTCTGAACTTATGTTGCACTTGCTTTCTCTTGTGGAGTAGCTATTTCACTTCTGACAAGCTGAAAAATAGTTTTAACAATTTATTTTAAAATTTGAAATGCATGTAATAAAACTAGAAATATCAAGCCTTTGTTTGCTGCAAACCACATATATGTACATTTATCTGTTCATGATTTATCTAAAAGATTAAAATTGTACAAATCTTTTATGGACACCCTGTACTTTTACTTTCAAACTCTCTGTAGTTGTCTCTTCAGAGAGTTAAAAGGGTTGGACACTGTGAGTGGTTTGGTAACCCGTAACAAAAGACCAACCACAAGTTTATTTCTATCAACCTTAATATAGGTCACGATACCATATAAGCATGCCTTGGGAACAGTGTGAAGAGGAAACTGCTGGAGTCACCTGTTGAAAAAGCACATTTTGTAATTACCACAGTAGTAGTTGATGGACGGTAGGGTTCCTAATCCTACCATCGTTAGATCTGTTTATACCAGAGTGGTTTTATGAAACCAGGTGTACTGGTTGATTATCCACGTATAGGAGGTTTTTGTGTTCGTCAGAATAGAGACTATATTAGCAATGTAGCTCCCTTCCTCATAATCTTGCCCAAAAGAGTTGAGAAGCTTTCTCCATGAAGCCTTGTTGAAAAGAGCAGCCTCCATTTCTTTCTGTACTCCACTGGAATACCACTATTCAAAGTGAGAACATCTGCTAGCTTCAAGATTGATGCAGCCCTCACTGAATCAGCCTGCACTGGTAGTGGAACCACAGATGGCTGTGATTTGCCAAGAAATACACGAGAGAACACAGTCTGTTGCAACTTTGGAAAAAGTTGGCTTTCCAGGTACCACCTTTCCAATTTGTCCCGGGTGACCTCTCGCAGAGGAAATTCTTCATCAAAACATGCTTTCAAAGACATCTTTTCAAACACTAGGTCTTGCAAAATATATTCAGCAAAGCATTCAGCCTCTGCCTCTGCCTCTTCAGACTGAAACGACCACTTTGACAATTCTGTTGAGTCTGCTGCACACTTTGCATACGACTGAAACATATTCTTCACATACTACAAAAGAAAGGAAAGACAAAGTGTGCATTTAATGACAAAGAGTGAACTTGAGCATATCACCCCATATTTCACAGCATGCTGGTTTAAAATGAGGCTTCTCCAACTGCCATTTTAACTCATGATGTGTGTACATACTGAAAGTATAAAATGCTTATAGCTTTGAAAAAGTCCTCCTGAAAAATGAATTTATCTGATTCTTGAGTAAGTATATTGAGAAATAGTCTCCTCTCCAATCAAAATGAAAGTAGATACCATTGTACAATGAATTGAAAATTCAATTTC